TCTCTGTCAAATAAATAAAATCTTTAAAAAAAAATAAAAAAATAAAAAAATAAAATTGAGCCTTACCTCAGTGATCACATTAGGCATGTGAAAATGTTGAATAACAATAAACAAAATACAGGTTGACCCTTGAACGGCACAAGTTTGAACTGCACAGGTCCACTTATACGTGGATTTTTTTTTTTTTTTACAGTGGAATACCATAAATGCATTTCCTCTTCTTCTCTGATTTTCTTAACATTTTCTTTTCTCTAGCTTACTTTATTGTAAGAATACAGTAATAATACATATAACATACAAAATATGTGTTAACTGTTTATTGGTTAAGGTTTCCAGTCAACAACAGGCTATTAGTAGTTTTGGGGAGTCAAAAGTTATACGTGGAGTTTCAACTGTGGGTTGAAACCCCATCCCCCTTGTTGTTCAAGTGTCAACTGTACATGAGATACAACTTACGGCTTATATTACTTTCCCATTTTGATTAATTTACCCATCAGTACTCTTCTTGCAGTTTAAGTACTTTCTGCTTTTTTAAGTTTTAATGTAAACTGTCAACCAGGATTTACATTAAAATGGACATGGGAACTATAAGGCCTCTCCTATCCCTCTCCCTTCATCAGTCTGAGGATTTGTAACAGAAATGACACAGGCCACAACACAAGAGCCACCACCATCAGTCTGGTCCTAGAGAAATCCCCTGTCCCACAACCACTTAAGTAGGAGATGAGTTCATTAAGTCCTTGTCTTTCTCAAAACCTTGTCTTTTGTTTCCCTTCTGACTAGAACCACTTTGTTTAGTCATTTAGACATTTTGTACCTGGGTTATTACATCAGCCTCTAGCTTATCTCCCTGCATTCAGTCTTACATTATGGCCAGGATGACCTATCCAAAACAGAAATCCCTTTGCTTTCCATAGAGCTTAGAATTCTTCAGTGCTCCTTAATAGCCAAAGCACAGAGTCCAAATTTCTTACTAAAGCATATTAAGACTCTTTAACAGATAATTTAGCAAGAATATAAAGTTCTTTAATATTTTAAACCTTATCTCCTGCCATTTATTCACTCAATAAATACTTACTGACCACCTACTACGTGTCATGAACTATTCTTTAAAAAAAAAAAAAAAGATTTATTTGAGAGAGAGCGAGCGAGCACTGGTTGCGGGGGCGGGGGGGAAGGGCAGAGTGAGAGGAAGAAGCAGACTCCCTGCCAGAGAGCCAGATGCGGGGTTCATCCCAGGACCCTGAAATCATGACCTGAGTCAAAGGCAGATGCTTAACCGACTGAGCCACCCAGGCACCCTGTCATGAACTATTCTAAACACTTGGGGGTGTGTGTGTGTGTGTGTGTGTGTATAAGTGAACAAAATAGATGATTGTGTGCATGCACACACATACACACCAAAGAACCAACCACAGAAGTTTAAACTAACACTAGGGCAAAGCGGGCAATAAATATAAGTAAATTATATAGTATATTAAGAGTGACATGGTCTATAAGAAAATACAAGTATAGTCAGGGAGGCCTTTTGGAAAAGTAGAATCTGAGAAGAGACTTGAAAGAGGCAAGGAGTGAGCCATGCATTTATCTGCAGAAACGATGTTCCAGGCAGAAAAGAAAATCTGGTGTAAAGGCCCTAATATGGAAGTGCCTAGAGTGCTCAGGGCTGTTGGGAGCTCAGGGTGGTTAGAGAAGAGTAAGTAAGGGGAAGTGAGGGGAGAGGAGGTAAGGATGGGGAGAAGTGGGAAGGAGTAGGAGGGTGATCACATAGATCCCTGCAGAGAACTGGAAGAACTCGAATTTTCCTCTGAGTAAGAAGGAAGCCCTGCATGTGACCAGTGAGCAGAGGAATGGCATGACGTGACAGATTTTGGAAGAACGGCTCTGACTGCTGTGCTGGCAGCAGACTGGAGCGGGGCAGGGACAGAAGCAGGAACACTACTAGGAGGCTACTGCAGGGACCTAGGTGAGACTTCATGGCAGATCACATGGGTGGTGAGAAATGGTCAGACTGCAGATGTGTAATACTTTCAAGGTACAGTCAGTAAGATTTTTCTGGCACACTGCATGGGAGTGTGAGAGAGGACTCAAGAATGTCACCAAGATTTCTGGACTAAGGAAACAGGAGAACAGAATTTGTACTAACTCAGATGAGAAAGACCACTGGTAGAGCCGGTTTGAGGGGAAAGCCTGGGGGAACAGTTTTTCATATATTTAAAATGTGTATTGGACATTCAACCAGGTTTTTTTGTTTGTTTGTTTTTAAGAGTTTATTTTATTTTTTCTTTAAAGATTTTATTTATTTATTTGAGAGAGAGAGAGAATGAGAGACAGAGAGCACGAGAGGGAAGAGGGTCAGAGGGAGAAGCCGACTCCCTGCTGAGCAGGGAGCCCGATGCGGGACTCGATCCCGGGACTCCAGGATCATGACCTGAGCTGAAGGCAGTCGCTTAACCAACTGAGCCA